TGTGTCCAGATGAACTCACGGTGCCGCGGTACCGGACTGAGAAACCCTCCAAATCACCACCACCTCCCCCTCCCCGCCGGAGCTTCCCCTCATCCCACGGGCTGACCACAACCCGCAGCGGTGAAGTCATTGTCACCAGCAAGAAGGAGCCTGGTTTTATGAAGGTAGGGTCATCATCAGCAAGACCAGCCCTGGCTCCTGGTACCCCCCTACCCCTCACCACCCTGCTCCCCTCTTTGCAGAAGGCTGAATCGGAGGAACTGGAGACCCAGAAGCCCCAGGTGAAGCTGAGACGGACAGTGTCAGAGGTGGTCAGGCCAGCGTCCACCCCTCCCATCATCGCCTCTGCCATCAAAGACGACGATGACGAGGATCGCATCATAGCGGAGCTGGAGGTGAGCGCGGGAGGGGCTGCGGGATGCCCCAGCTCACCCGCACTGGAGGTGATGCCCACCCTGTCCCATCTGCTCACACATGGCTCCGGGCATCTGTGGGGATCTCTTGGGATCAGGTCCAGGGAATGACATCCCAGTGCTGCCCTGGTTTGTCTCCCAGCAGGAGCGCGGTGCCACGGGGACGGGCAGCACTGAGCAGCTCCATCCTGCTGGACCCCTCACTGGGTCCAGGTGCTGCGTACCTGGTTCACCATCTCTCTCTTCAGCACTTCCACCCTGTCTTGGGCTTTAAGCCAAACTCATTTGGTTTTTAACGCTGGAGGTTCATTGGGTTTTGTGTGTGCACAGGGCACCCTGCAGAGATCCCACCCGAGATGCCATCCTGAGGCTCTGAACCCCCCCAGCCTGGCTGTGCCCCACCTCCTCCCCAGTTTGCTGTGGTTGAGGTGCTCAAATGGGTTATGGATGGTTTTTCTCACTGGTTTTCCCCCCAGGAAGCAGGGAGACCAGTGATGCTGTAGGCAAGGGGACTGGTGATGGTGCAGGCAAGGGGACCAACGATGCTGCTGGCAGCAGAGGGATGGGGTTGCCTCCACAGCTGATGAGAACAGCCAACATTCTGCTCTCTGCCAAGCCCCAACGCTGGCATGACCCTGGCAAGCATCCCTGCAGGCACCATGACAAGCATCCCTGCAGGCACGAGCTGCATCATCATTACCCCCAAGCCTCCCTCCTCCAACCCCCCGTGTTTGACTCCCCAGGTGTTTCAGAGAAGCTCAGCCTCCCCTTTCCTTCCCAAGCTCCGTTACGATCCGCTCCCGGCTGCCGTCTCCCCTGGGCACGCAGACTTGTGGCCCAACGGAGCCTCCGTTGCAGCTGAAGGATGGAAGGTAACACCTCGCTCCCAGCGACCACCCCTTCTCCTGCTGCACTTTAACCACCTCCTCTCCCACCTCTTTTCAACTCACTTCTGCTGCTTCCTCTGATTTTAATCAACTAATGGCTTCTCTCCACTCCCTCGCTCACCGCCCCTGCGTGTACGGCACTGACACGGCACGGGACCGAGCACTAACACATGCAACTATGGCACAGGGTTGCAGCAGCTCCTGTGAAGATGGGAGGAAGGAAGGGAACACCCCAGCACCCCATGGGGAAGGGCATGGTGTGGACTCGCAGCTTTCACTGGGTGCGTGGGGCGGGTGTCACTGGAAGGGGGCCATGCAT